TATATATATTTTAAAAGGCTGTTAGAGATCCCTTGAGAAAATGCAAACCTGAATTAAGTTTGAAGGTGAAGGGAGCAAAATGGAAGTTTAAAAAAATCCAAAAATAGGCAGGTCTTAAATGTAACCAATGGGTCAAAGAAGAAATCACAAGAGAAATTAGAAAATACTTAACACAAATGAAAATGAAAACACAACATACCAAAATTTATGGGTTGCGGCAAAAGCAGTGCAAGGAGGGAAATTATAACTGCAAACACTTACATTAAAAAAGAAAGATCTCGCCTGGCCAGGCATGGCTCAGTGGCTGAGCATCAACCTATGATCCAGGAGATTGAGGTTAGATTCCTGGTCAGGGCACATGCCCAGGTTGCGGGCTTGATCCCCAATGTGGGGCGTGGAGGCAGCTGATCAATGACTCTCTCATCATTGATGTTTCTATCTCTCTCTCTCTGAAATCAGTAAAAATATATTTTTTTTAAAAAGAGAGAGATCTCATCCTAGCTGGTTTGGCTCAGTGGTTAGAGCGTCAGCTCCAGGAATGAAGCGTCGGGGTTGATTCTGGCCAGGGGCATGTACCTTGGTTGCAGGCTCCATCCCCAACTCCGGTTGGTACACATTCGTGAGGCAACCAATCAATGTGTCTCTCTCACATTGATGTTTCTCTATCTTTCTCTCTCTCCCTCCCACTCTCTCTGAAAAGCAATGGAAAAAATATCCTCCAGTGAGGATAAAAAAAAAAAAAAATCTCAAATAAAAAACCTAATTTTACAAGTTTTGAAACAGAAAACTAAATCCAAAGCTACCAGAAAGAAAATAAAGATTAGAGCATAAATAAATGACACCAGGAAAACAGAGAAAATAAGCAAAAACAATCTGGTTCACTGAAAAGATTAACAAAATTAACAAACCTTTAGCTAGATTGACTAAGTAAAAAAAAAATTACTAAATTTATTAAATCGGATTTGAAATTACTAATTTCATTCAAGAAATGAAAATAACCTAGAAGAAATTTCTAGAAACAGAAAACCCAAGACTGAGTAACAGAGAAATAGAAAATCGGAATAAACCCACAACAAACAAGGAGATTGAATCAGTAGTCAAAAACTTCCCAAACAAAAACTCTGGACCTGATTTTTTTTTTTATTGGTTTGAGAGGGGAGGAGGAGGAGTGAGGGAAGGAAGGAAGGAGGGAGGGGGGAAGGGAGGAGGGAGAGACAGACAGACATCAAGTGGTTGCCTCCGGCAAGCGCCCCAACCAGGATGGAACCCTGATCGGGAATCAAACCCACCACCCTCCTGGTGTATGGGACCACGCTCCAACCAACTGGGCCACACCAGCCAGGGCCGGACCTGATTTTTAAAGAATTAACATCAATCCTCAAACTCTTCTTTAAAAAAAAAAAACTGGAGGGAAACACTGAAACTCATTCTGAAGCGAACATTGCCCTTACACTAAAACCAAACACCTTACAAGAAAACTGCTAACATCTCTTAGGAATATTGATACAAAAGATCCTGAACAAAATACTAGCAGACCCCACAGCCCCCTTTTAGGCTTTATTTCTTTAAACTCCCACACCCTGGGTTTTGGGACCCTGGCGATGAGGGCAACCACTTACACAGAAAACCCCGGGCCTTCCCGCTCCAATGCTAGCCCGCTCCAATCCCCAGGATGGCCCCTTGCCCCCACTGGCCCCAGTCGGTTCCCGGGGACCGAGAGGTGAGGGGCTAGTACCTGAGCATGTGGCGGCCACTAAATGAACCAGTGGCAGCCACACTTGGCTGGCGCCTGGGGTGGAAGCCAAACCCCGGTGGTCCAAAATCGGGCCTATACGACCAAGCCCACCCAGCTCCAACGGCTCACTTCACCTTACTCCCCTCATGACCGCTTGGCCTGCGGCTCGGAGCGGGACCCACTTTGGCCTCGACGAAGGCGCCTTACCCGGTGCTCGAGGCACATGTGGCCCTGATGGAGTGGATGCGCAGGCGATTGGCCAGGTCCCGTAGCACCTGCACAGTATCCGCATCAGGTTTGTCTTCTTCGGCCATGGCAACGCTCACCTCAGCATCCGCCATGGCTGCTACTCCTTCAGAGCCTGAGGAGAAAATGGCGTTGAGGGTGCTCTTCCGGCTTTTATAGGGCCCCTGCGTTGGCTTCCTCCGCGCAGCTCCTTCCGCACATGGCTCCCTCCGCGCACCCAATTAAATGGATTTTGAACATTTCTCATTTGCATATATGACAATTTTCAAAATCATCTAATTTCTTTATATCTTCCCTCGTGTTATTAGTTCAAAGAGGATTGCCTTTGTTGGTGAGTTCAGGGTCTACTTTTGGGATTGTACGTGAGTCCAGGATCTACTTTTGGGTTATTAAAAAGTTCTGGAACTAGATACTGTGGTGGTTGACAAGATGGCGAAAATAGTAAAGTGGTCTTCGTTTCGCACACTTTAAAATAGTTTCATTGGGGAAGTTTGTTTTGCACATTTTCTCACACTTTTAAGAGAGCTACACTGTAATTTTACAATTTTCGGGTACCCCCTTATAGCAGCCCAGTTCCTAGGTCAGCTTCTCAGCACATGAGGCGGGCTGAGAGCTCTGAAACAGCACGGTGTCTCTGCCCTGACCATTTTTGACAGAATCTTCCGTCTGGCAAGACCTGTGTGAGTGTTTAGCTGGCATTACCCCAACGCTGGCCAGCAGCTTTCCAAGGAAGCCTGACTTGAGGGGGTTCCCGTTGATTTTATGTAGGAAGGTCCCCATATGTATACGAAGGTCACACTGTGTCTCGGAGAGCTCGTCTCTCTCTGATTTTGAGACGGTCTACCAAGAACCAGCCTTGCTCCCAGCGACACCATCTCCACATTATACCTAAGTTTAACCACTGGGAAGCATCTTGAAAACTGCCGACCTCCGGAGAGCCCCAAATGTCCCTGAATGTGGCTAGACGGCTAGACGTTCACGTTCTTGCTTGGTTAAAGGGTAGTGCATTGAAATTTTTCATCGATACTCCTGACGGCGCAAGAAAAACTCTGCCCCTATGCGCTCCTACTCGCAGAATACGTGAGTGCCTTTTTAATGTGTGGCGTTCTGATGGGTGAGAAAATTATATTTAATAATTGCTTTCATTTACATTTGCCCAAATTCCTTGCAGTGGCACATTTATCATATGTTTATTGCCATTTGAAGCCCGTCCTTTCTGAATTGTCTATTGCACCCTTTACTGTTTTTATATTGGATTATTTCTCTTTAGCTTCCTAATTTGTAGGATTTCTTTGTGTTGATTAGCATCTTGTCTATTAGAGATATAGCAAATCTCTTCATCTCAATCTGTTGCTTTTTACACTTGATCTTAGCCAAAAGGCCGAGAAGCGATCATTCTGTTGCCTTTTTAAAAAAAATGTTAGCAGAGATACTTTAAGAATCAAGTGTTTGAACCAAAACCTAACTTTAAGCTTTTTCTCCATAAGAATGTTTTAAAACACCTTTATGCAGTAAAATATGTAAATCTTTTGCTTCATGGCATTTTGGGTTGAGTGGTTTAAAAAGATCTCCAAAGATTATAATAATATTCCTATTATGTCCTCCTAATACTTTTACAGTTTCATTTTTATGTCTAGTTCTTTATCCTGTCTCAAATTTATTATTGCATATGTTAGGAAACACTCTAACTTAATTTCAAAAAGCCAGTTGTCTCAAGACCATATTTACTATTCTTTTTCAAAAACTTCTTAGCCCTTTTTGCATGTTTTCTTCCAAATAAATTTTGAAATCAACTTTTTTTTTTTAATCCTCACCCAAGGATATTTTTTCATTGCTTTTCAGAGAGAGTGGAAGGGAGAGAGAGAGAGAAACATCAATGTGTCTCCAATTGGTTGCCTCTTGCACTCCCCAGTTGCCTCCTGCACACACCCCAACCGGCTGGGGATCAAGCTTGCAACCAAGCTTTGTGCACTTGACTGGAATGGAACCTGACACCCTTTAGTCTGCAGGCCGAGGCTCTAACTACTGAGCCAAACAGACTAGAGCTGAAATGAGCTATTTTTAAGATTCATAAGACATTCCCATTTTTTTTTATTGTTCAAAATATTACAGATGTCCCCTTTTCTCCCCATTGACCCCTTCCACCATGCACCCACCCCCTTTCCCAGTCCCTCAACACACCATTGTCTGTGTCCTTGGATTACGCATACATGCATATAAATTCTTTGGTTAATCTCTCCCCTCCTCCACCTTCCCTCTGAGATTTGTCAGTCTGATCCATGCTTCCATGTCACTGAATCTATTTTGTTCATCAGTTTAGTAAGTTCTTTAGATTCCACATATAAGTGACATCATGTGATGTTTGTCTTTCTCTGCCTGGCTTATTTCGCTTAGCATAATATTTTCCAGGTCCCTCCATACTGTTCCAAAGGGTACGAGATCCTTCTTCTTTACAGCTGCGTAGTATTCCATGATGTAAGTGTCCCACAGCCTTTTTATCTGCTCATCTACTGATTGGCACTTGGGCTGTTTCCAGATCTTAGCTATTGTAAATTGCACTGCTATGAACGTAGGGGTGCATATATTCTTTCTGATTAGTGTTTCAGGATTCTAAGGATATATTCCTGGAAGTGGAAACAATGGGTCAAAAGGCAGCTCCATTTTAAATTTTTTGAGGAACCTCCATACTGTTTTCCATAGTGGCTGCACCAGTCTGCGTTCCCACCACCAGTGTACTAGGGTGCTCTTTTCTCCACACCCTGGCCAGCACTTGTAGTTTGTTGATTTGTTGATGGCAGCCATTCTAACAGGTGTGAAGTGATATCTCATTGTGGTTTTAATTTGCACCTCTCTGATGATTAGCGACGTTGAGCATTTTCTCATATGTCTCTTGGACATCTGTATGTTCTCTTTTTGAGAACTGTCTGTTCAACTCCTTTGCCCATTTTTTAATTGGATTGTTTGTCTTCCTCTTGTTGAGTTGTATGAGTTCTTTGTACACTTTGGAAATTAGCCCCTTATCAGATGCATTGTTGGCAAATATCTTCTCCCATAGCGTGGGTTTCCTTTGTATTTTGAGGCTTATTTTTTTCTTTTTTAAAAAATATATCTTTAATTGATTTCAGAGAGAGGAAAGGAGAGGGAGAGAGAGAGATAGAAACATCAATGATGAGAGAGTCATTGATCGAGCCCACAACCCGGGCATGTGCCCTGACCGGGAATCGAACCCCGATCACCTGGATCCTAGGTGGACGCTCAACCGCTGAGCCACGCCCAGCCGGGCTTGAGGCTTATTTCTTTTGCTGTGCGGAAGCTTTTTAGTTTGACATAGTCCCATTCGTTTATTTTCTCCTTTCTTTCTCTTGCCTTAGGAGATGTATCAGTGAAAATTCCACTATACGAGAGGTCTGTGATTTTACTGCCTATGGTTTCTTCCAGGATTTTTATGCTTTCGAGACTTACATTTAAGTCTTTTATCCATTTTGAATTTATTCTTGTGTATGGAGTAAGTTGGTGATCTAGTTTCATTTTTTTGCATGTATCTGTCCAATTTTCCAAGCACCATTTATTGAAGAAACTGTCTTTACTTCGTTGTATGCTCTTGCCTCCTTTGTCAAATATTAACTGACCATAATGGTGTGGGCCTATTTCTAGGGTCTCTGTTCTGTTCCATTGATCTATATGCCTGTTGTTGTACCATTACCTGGCTGTTTTGATTACAATGGCTTTGTAATACAGTTTGATATCCAGTAAAGTGATCCCTCCAACTCTGTTCTTCTTTCTCAAGATGGCTGCAGCTATTCAGAGTCTTTTTTGGTTCCATATAAATTTTTGGAATATTTGTTCTAGCTCTGTGAAATATGCTCTTGGTTTTTTAATAAGAATTGCATTGAATCTATAGATTACTCTGGGTATTATGGACATTTTAATGATGTTAATTCTTCCAATCCGTAAACATGATATATCCTTCCATTTCTTTGTATCTTCCTCTATTTCTTTTTCCAGTGTCCTATAGTTTTCCAAGTACAGGTCTTTTACATCCTTGGTTAAGTTTATTCCTAGGTATCTTATTTTTTTAGTTGTAGCGGTAAATGGTATTGTTTTTTTAGTTTCTCTTTCTGAGTTCATTTTTGGTGTATAAAAATGACGTCGATTTTCAGATTTTGATTTTGTATCCAGCTACCTTGCCGAATTCATTTATCACATCTAGTAGTACTTCGGTGGATTCTTTAGGGTTTTCTACGTACAAGATCATGCCATCTGCAAATAAAGACAGTTTTACTTCCTCTTTCCAATTTGGATACCTTTGATGTTTTCTTCCTGTCTGATGGCTGTGGCAAGGACTTCCAGTACTATGTTGAATAAGAGTGATGAAAGTGGGCATCCCTGTCTTGTTCCTGTTTTTAAAGGAAATGGTTTTAGTTTTTGCCCATTGAGTATGATGTTGGCTGTAGGTTTGTCATATATGGCCTTTATTATGTTGAGATGTGTTCCCTGTATTTCCACTTTGCTGAGGGTTTTTGTCAAAAATGGGTGCTGGATTTTGTCGAATTCTTTTTCTGCATCTGTTGATATGATCATATGATTTTTGTCCTTCATTTTGTTGTATCATATTTATTGATTTGGGAATATTATACCAGCTTTGCATCCCCGGAATAAATCCCAATTGGTCGTGGTGTATGATCTTTTTAATGTATTGCTGGATCCAGTTTGCTAGTATTTTGTTGAGGATTTTAGCATCTATGTTCATCAGGGATATTGGCCTGTGATTTTCTTTCTTTGTAGTGTCTTTATCTGGGATTAAGATGATGCTGGCCTCATAAAAAGAGCTTGGGGNTATCTGGTTTTGGGATTAGGATGATGTTGGCCTCATAAAAAGAGTTTGGGGATTTTCCCTCCTCTTGAATTTTCTGGAATAGTTTGAGGAGAATAGGTGTTAATTCTTCTTTGAAAGTTTCATAAAACTCTCCTGTAAGTCCATCTGGTCCCAGGCTTTTGTTTGCTGGAAGATTTTTGATTACTGCTTTAATTTCATTAGTTCTTATCAGCCTATTCAGGTTTTCTGCCTCTTCTTGATTCAGCTTTAGAAGATTGT